CGCCACAGTCTCGTTGCCCACTACCGCCACCTACCGGCCACAGAATGTAACACCGGTAGGGGGCGTCACAAGCGCACTAGCGACGACGGAGGTGAGCGTTAACACGCGCGGCGCGACAGCAGCAGCAGCGCCACCTGTGAATACGAACAATATAGGCGCAGCAGTAGCGCCACCTGTGGATACAAACAATATCGCAGCAGCAGTAGCACCACCTGTGGATACAAACAATATCGCAGCGCCATCTGCAAACAACACTGACGAAACAGCAGCAGCGCTCACAACCGACATACCAACGAAAGCCGCGCCAGAAAACACGGCAGCGCCCCCTGCGAACGACTGCGACGCGATGGCGGCGCCCTCTGGCAATGCGACCGACGCGCCGCCGCCGCCGCCGGCGAAGGACATCTACTGGGGAATCGTGTTTCCGGCGTTGAGCGTCGTCTCTGTGGTCGGCAACGCTGTGAACGTGTTCGTCTTCGCTTCGGGCCGCATGCCCGCCTCCGCCTTCAACGTGCTCCTGCTCGGCCTCGCCGTCAGCGAGCTCCTCCAGGGGGCGTTCTTCCTCACGTCGAAAGTCGTCGCCACGTACGCCGGCGGCGACGTTGCCACGGCGACGCTGACGCTGGATAAGCTCGGCGATCTGTCGTTCTACACGGCGAACTGGGTGACGGCTGCGATGTCGGCGTTTCGCTGCGTCGCCATCGCGTGGCCGCTGCACGCGCGCGACGTGCTCACGGAGCGACGCGCGCGCCTCGCCGTCGCCACCGCCGTCGGCATCGCAGCCGTCAAGGAGATCCCGTACTGGATCAAGGACTTCGTCGTCGACTTCGACCCGACGTTGCGGACAATCGAACCGATCAATCAGGTGTTCGGACGCGTCCTCCCCGTCGTCATCGTCGTCGCGACGACGCTCGTCTCCGTCGGCTGCGTGAATCGTGCCTCGCGGCGCCGCACGGCGGCCGGTAACGTCGGCGGCGGCGGCGGCGGTGGTGTTGACGATGCGAGGGTGGTGCGGATGTTGTTGGTGCTGCTGGTGGTGTTCGTCGTCACGAACGCGTACTGCGTCGTCATGATCCTCGCTCGCATCTACGACGCCCACTGGGTGGAGCCACTGCTGTTCACGACCCCGATAGCGTTCGGGTTCAACTCTGCGATGAATTTCTTTCTCTACTTCCTCATGAACCGACGCTACCGCGAGGCGCTGTGCTGCTGCCGACGTGCCTCGCGCAGGCGCCACCTGGCGGCCGGTCGGTCGCCGAGCGCCGAGACGTCGCTGTCGTCGATGATCTGCAGCGAGAAGGGATCGCGACGCAGCGCGTGCTGCGACCTGGCGGCGAACAGCAGCGCGCGCGCGGCGCCGGCTGCGGACGATAGGTGGCGCCAGATTTGCGGGGAGACGGAGGCGAGGGAGACGGTTGTTGTGAGCTGGCAGCCGCGGTCGCTAGAGAAGAAACCGACGGAGAAGGAACCGTGGAAGAAGGAGGAAGCCCTGAAGGAGGCCCCGGAGAAGGTCAAGGAGACCCCGGAGAAGGTAAAGGAGGCATCAAAGAAGGAGCCGACTGAATATGACAATGACACCTACCGAACGTACTTCTGAAGTTACGTCGCCCACGACCGTCGACCGCATCTGAGTCGACGAGAGACGCATCACAGCTGTTGCCATGGTGATTATTTCCCCAGGAAGACCTGATAGGCTCTTCCTCTAGCGTGGGGAGAAGTTGTATGTAAATAGTTTGATATCTCGGTGTTTTTTCTTCAGCTTGGAGAAGTTTAGATGTGAATTTGTAGATATCTCTGTTATTCTGTACAGCAATTCTAGTCGCAGCAAAGCCGCATGCAATCATAACCACTAGTCTCTAACGTCGATGGTGAGTGGGGCGGCGCGGGGGGGGGGGTGCTTCCGGGGGGTATGCTGCTGAAGATGATACCACAGGTCAGGAGCCCTGTGCTACGAAGCTGTTATTATATTTTGGTATCAACACCAGCCTAAAGTATCATTAATTCAGACACAACTAATATCACAGAGTGTGTGCAGACGCAGGGGCAATGCATACGTTTGTTTATTGTGTTCAGCTGTTTATAAAGCTGGATATCATATCCCGATCGTTCCTTGCTGACTGGGACTGGGCCTGGAGCAGTGGGTGCTGACGGTAAATAGAGCGGCATTACTATGTTCATATATTATAGCTGCTGCTATATCAGTTGGCTCGTTGTCATTAGTGATAGGCTCCATTAATACGCGCTCAATCAGTCCGCCTCTCTTACTCTTACCCTCTGTTTCCTCCCTCCGCTTCACAACACACACCAAACACCCTCCTACCCCTCCCTCCTTGCTACACACCACCAAAACCATCTCTGCTTATTCACTACAACCCTCCACTTTTTCCGCCTTCCCTTCCCTTCCTCCACCCTTCCTCCCTCTCTTTCTTCTGCCCTGTCTTCTTCCCCTTCCCACCCTTCCTCACTCACTCCCTCCCGCCCTCCCCCTGCCTCCCGCCCTCCCCCTGCCTCCCTCGCCTCTCTCACCACCTTCTGGCTCCGCCTGCCTTCCTTCCCTCCTTTTACCATGGACCTCCCCCCCTGCCTCCCCTCCTTCCCCCTGCCTCCCTCCCTCCTTCTCTACGCGCTCTCTCCTCTCCCTTCCCGCTCATGCCTCGGCCCCTGGTCTGCCCTCTTCTCCCCTGCCTCCCCTACCACCCTCCATGCCTCCGCCCCTCGCCCTTCCGACTGCCTTCCCCTGCCTCCCTCCCTTCCCCTTCATGCCTCCCCCTGCCTCCCTCCTTCCCCCTGCCTCCCCTACCACCTCATCGTGTCTGTGTACCATCCCAATGATCTCCCTACTTAATGCATACGGGCGTTAGGTGAGCATCGAATGGAGGAGGAGGAGGAGAGGAGGAGGAAGAGGTGGTGGAGGGGGGAGAGAGGTGAGGGAGAAGAGGAGAAGGAGGAGAAGGAAGGAGAGGAGGAGGAGGGAGGAAGAAGGAGTGGTGGAGGGAAGAGGAGGTGAGGGAAGGAAGGGGAGGAGATATTTATCTGCGCCGGTCGATGTCAAATCATGGCAGATCTAACATGCCGCCTTGCTTGTCAAACAACCGTCCACATAATGTCCAGCAGATTAATTAACTCTTACTGAAGGGCCATTATAATGCCTGCTGCTCGCTGCTGATGATGATGGCTGATGATGGATGATCGCTGCAGGGCTGATATGATGCTTGATGATGAATGATGCTGTGATTGAATGATGATGATGATGCTGATGATGATGAGTCGAAGCCTGGTAGCCTTTTAGTAGCTTTCATGAGTTCAGGGTATGAAGTTAGGTTAAGTGAGAGGGAGGGGGTAATTAGTTTTTTGGAACGGCGTAATTCGGACAATTTTTAATTATCTGGGAAATTTAAAATAGAAGAAACTAACGTTTGTGTCTTGTTTTACGTGCTAATTGTGTTGTCTTCTATTTTCATATTATTTCATTCGTCGTATTTATTCGGTTAGACCCCGATGAAATGGACCGGTAAAAGTTACGCGGAGTTTTCCATGCATCAGTGGTGGGCAAGGGTCTGGTCTAATGGCGTTCTGACGGCTGTTAATGAATACATATCGTGGTGTTTACGTCCGCCAGCTTTCCTCCCTCCGCCTCCCTCCTGCGCTCCCCTTCTCCCCTCCTCCGCTCACGCGCTCACACCCTCTTGCTCTCCTCCCCTCCGTCCCTG